GTGTGGGTGTGGGTGTGGGAGTGTGGGTGTGGATATGGGTGTGTGCATATGGGGGTGGGTATGAGTGTGGGAGTGTGGATGTAGGTGTGGGTATGAGTGTGGGTGTGGGAGTGTGGGTATCAGGAAAAACATCGTTCACCCACATCCACACCCGCACCCTCATATGTTGTTAGATTAATTGTTGAAATCGATCATAGACATCTCTCGTATTTGTTCGAAGATTTTCATATCTTTGCCAAAATCGACTCATCGAAGACAGACATAAATGAAATTGAACTGATCATTATCCATTATTCCAATTATTTTTATTCGATCAAATATTGTCGTAAAAAACGAAATGGCAGCATACGTGACTACTAAACACTTGTATTTATGTTTGCAATACAGGATAATTTCGATTGCTTATTGATGCAGAAATACTTACGACATCAGTTATCTTTTCTTATTACTTTCAGCTGATAATTAATGCTATTTTACTATCAAATAAGAATACGTTGTCAACTCTATCAGAAAGAATCATGACAAGCTCATGACATCATTTTGCATTTGAGAGATGTTTGCTTTGTTTAAAAGTGCCTATATCATATTTATCTTTCGTCATAATGTAAAAAGAACTTTGCACATGAGTTAAGTATGTGTCATAAGATGTTTGTGTCATTGTTAGTGTTATCAACATCTCATATCTACATATAAAAATTTCACTCAAGAAGAATGAAAAGAAATAAAATATTGTTATGGCAAACAACTACAACACTTCAAGTAATTTTACTACCGAACATTATCCATGGTCTAATACATCGATAGGGATTGTTTCTGGAGATTCGATTCCAACCTCGGATAAATCGATGCCACTATCAAAACAAGATCACGAACTACCAACTTATGATACATTTACTGCTCCATCTGCACCTGGCATTGGTGATCTACCACCAAACTATTTTGATATATCAATTGTACCTAATGGTGCTATTTTATACAATAATCAAGTGACTCCTTATACAGAAGTTTCTAAAGCAGAAATAGAACGTAATAAAAAAGGTGTTCGTTCATTCGATCCACTTATTGATCAAAATCCCGATCAATTATGGCTTTATTTTATGACTTATCTAAATGAAAAACCACAATTAAAAGTCAATATTAAGGGTTCTTATACAGAGGTATTTCTACGTTTAACAAATGATTCAGGATAAATATTTCAGTAAATTCGGATTATTTTCCTCTGCATATTATTTGTAAAAAATAGCATAGGGTTGAATTCATTCAAAAAAAGAAAATTCGAAGCAAGAATACGATACCAAGATTAAGAAATATGAGAATAATGTATCAAGATTTGCTGTAATTCATTTTATCACACTTGTATTATCACAACATCTGTTTTTGTATCTTTTGTATTTATAGTATTATACAACAACTGAAACTTATACTGATTCTGATGGGAACACGCAAACTCGTGATGTTCAGCAATCTCGCACTGTGACTGAGTTTCATTTTTCTGTTGATATATCGCCGTATATTTGTAATCAATGGTGGCGTGTAGCTGTTGTTCCATTGACAAAAGCAGTTAATCCTGGTGAAATGGTTACTTTTAGAGATGCTCTGGAACAATATACACTTTCAAGAAAGAAAATTAAAGAAATTGTATTGCAAAAGCAATTACTTGGCTGGAATTTAGTAGAATTGCAACGACAACTCATTACATTAGTTCTTTCAACCGGCTACCGTAATGACATTTGTATCGTAAGTGAAAAATTAACGTTTAAATTGTAATTGATCTTATTTTCTATTTATTTTGTTAGACTTATAGTACATTTAATCAGGAAATTGTTGCTCGTTCATCTTCCAAACTCAGTCGTTTTGCTAATTCGAGTATAGTTCGTGTCTTATGTTGTATTTCCTGTTTATGTATTATCTTTGGTCCCATTTATTATTGCTTACGTGAGATAGGCTCAACGCGAGATAAAATTGTCGCCGATTATATGTTAATGAAATCAGCTGATACTTTTCTTCAATTTAATGCTCAAATGATTGCTAATGCAGTAAAACAACGCTCATATGAATCTTATGTAGCACATTTTGCTTAATTATACAATTATTCTTTTCATTGATATACTGGTGCGAGTAAAGAAAAATTTCAAAAATTTCATTCTAGATGATATAATTCCTATATGGACACTCTCGTTTTTCAAGCAGTTATCTTTGTTTGCGGTTGTATAGCATGAAATATATTATGTAAAGTAGAAATTTTCACAGACTACGACAACCTTACATTTTGGGTGTGAATATGAGTGCGGGTGTGTGAACAGCTCTATTAGCGTCTCTAACGCTCACTTCAATGACGTAAACTCGACAAATAAAGTAAGTATGTGGTTGATCAGGTCACAGAAAGCGGCAGTTCTGATATTTGAGAATATGCTCCAGGAAAGTTTGAGGCTTACAACAAATTGCACAGCACACCAAGAAGTAGAAACTTGAATATTTATGGTTGATTGAGTTATGCGCACTAAAAATGAGAAGCAGATCATTATCGTGTTCGACCGTTTCTTTTGACACTATCTGCCGATCGTCGGTGGAAAAACGAGGGTGTGAGTGTGGGTGAAATGAAGCAATGTTTTCACACCTACACCTCCACCACACAAATTTATTCAATATTTACCACTGTATCTATTATATCCGAGCGATAACATCGAAATGATTCTTTATCTTCATAAGTAAACATATTCTACTTATCTGGTACTGGCTCTTTAGATATCAATACTTTAATCAAATGTTCAAGGATAAAAAAGTTCTAATAGAGTATCTTGGCTTGTTTTTTCGTTACCTGAAGTAACGTTTCCCTAAAAGTAAATGTATCTTGTTAAATATAGAAAATAAATTAGATATGATACGTCTAATGCATTCTAAAACCTAAATGTTAATATTGAACATGTTTCTGCAATTGGATATTATCCTGTTATCTCAGTACATTTCTAAATTAATAGAAAAACAAACAAATAGCTATAAATGAAAGAAATTTTGTCATAACAAGACAACAAAAATTAATGCAAAAGTATTTGTGATTGTGAATTTGTTGTCATAGACATTCGAAAAATAAGTTGAATAAGATTTTCACCAGATTGTATTATTAATTCTGTAATACATTCCGCATTTTCTTTTTTGTTAAAAATCAATTAGAAAAAAAAAGAATAAAAGAAGATCGTTTTACTTTACTTCCTGCTGTCAACCAATAAGTAAGTATTGTTTCAAGTTCTATTATATGTGATCAAAGACAAGAAGATCCAAAACATAGCTACAATCCTAAGCCCAAATCCAAACTCAAATCTCAGTCACAAGATTTGGATGCCAAATTCGAAATCTTCTCAGGATTTATTGCATCCTAGAATCGACGAAAAATAATTCTACAACGATGAAAACGATTCTCAAAATTTATTTTTGCAGTTATAGAAAGTTTACAAGTAGTAAAATGATATTATATTGTTTTCTAGTCATTCCCTAGATTTCACTATGAAAGCAGTGAGTTGAAGTTATATTGTGTTCGATATTACTTAATTTAACTTTATCCTTTGATTAAATGGCAAAACTCATGTGATTTCCATATTGTAACTATATCAGAGATTGTGCTAGCACGTTTTTTTCAAAATGGAGTATATAGCTTTAATGGTTTCCAACTATCAAGTAATTCGAACGAAGTCAAATTGGACATTAATTACTTAATAATGAGGAAATAACTATTCTTCAAAACGAAGTTATGTTATGCGTCTCATCTCTCATTAAACATAGGAGATCAATAACATTTAGAAAAATGAATAACTTCCAAGTATACTGATTGCATGTTAATAAATACATAAAAACATATTGAACCGTGGAATGGTTTCGAATAGAACTTCTCCATTCACAGCATTTTCTCGTTCGGAAAACTGTTACAAGATAATGAGAAATGACAAATTTGATCCTCCCTTCTATCTTGTTGCAATCCTTCACAAACTACGACAGTCAGACAGATTGATCAAGCTTTCAAGTGGCACAATAATTCATACGACTAGGGTTCTGTATCATGTTTTAACCATGGAGGAGTTATGCTGAAATCTTTCGACAATGAAAGACACAACTTATGCTTTTATTCCGAAGTGCCGCTCAGGAGAAAATAGGAAATGAATTGCATTCTGTGACACCGCAGAACACGACTAATACTCTTACCTGTATTCGGGCATCTCTTTTATATTTTTTTTCGTTTCA